AATTGCGCACGTATCCAGTCCATAGGAGGGGAATGGCGCAGCAAGCCAACACTTCGATCCGGGCTTACATTGAAACTGGCTTCATGTGAAGGGAGCCCACGGTATGCAGCGGTTTGACACGTATGCTAATTCTTCTAGCGAATGTGATATGTGTCGCCCAGCCCCCAACTCTATTTAACATCTGTTCAGCGAAACACTCTGTGTCAACGACTAGGAGGGAGCAATACTCTCACTTAGGAGAAGCTCACCACCCAGGTGGGCACATGCATCTTGGGAAACTTTCTCACCAAGATGAAAGCAACCACATGTAGTGGGCCAACCTCTGCTTGGAAACAGCCTTCCGTTATGCTGGACTCCGTAACAGACAAGAGCTGGTCTGAGGTCCAGGCTTTGCATTCTGAGCATGTAAAACCGCTATGGAGCGGACGGACAGAGAAAAGCGAGGGCTGGGTCTGCCTCCTCTGGGGCAGCGCTTGTAGGCTCACCACCTGGTTCGGAAGGAGAGGTAGGAACCTTGGGCACATTTTCAGGCCAGGGTCTCAGATTTCATGAGAGTTAGCCGGCCCGAATTCCAGACACGATTCGTTGACCGAAAAAGTGTGCAAGTCCCTACCCTCTAGATAGAGACCAAGCAAGCAGGAGAACTGTTTCTCTAACAACAGGATTTTTAACTCACTGCCTGCAGGGCTCAAGGGAGGTCTCTGTAGTGCAGTAGCACCAGAGATAAGTCCCAAGAGGATAAAGAGGGGGCGCAAGGCGGATTCTAGTCTCATTGCTCCCCTCGGGAATCCGACGATCAAATCGTGCTTCCCACGGATTGTATCCACTGCATCATGATGTGCGTCAATACGGAGTGCGGAGGCATTTTCTTTCCTGGTTTGGTTGAAACACGCCCCATAATCACAGCCCAATGGAGCAGTATCAGACTCATATTCTGACTAAAGTCTGAGTATGACAACGTCAGGCTAGGAGCTTCCATGAATATTCACGAGACCATAGCGTGGGCAGGGCGACCAATACAAGTGAGTGGAACAGAAATTATTAGCGTGAATGCCTCAGATCACGTTTTGTCCTAAACTACTCCTATAACTGTTCGTTTCTCACGAATGACTGAGATTAAGCTTTTTAAATGTTTATTATTGCATGTTTAAATAAATATTTACAAATATATTCTTGTGTTTTATTCTCCCAATGTTGTCTGTAGGCTATTATTAAAATAGCTTTTAAATTATAGGCTGATAGCTCAAGGCAACATACCTTGAGTTGCATGTTGTTGCATGATTTAAATGTTGCTTTATACTCAACTGAAAATCTTTTTGATACATTTGTTAAACTGTCAAAAGGTTATCATAAATGTTAAGCTTCAGTTGCTTTAACAGATGTTTTCTCTAGCAATGCTTTATAACGTTAGTCAAATTAAGTGATAATTATTTCAATTGTTTTGATGTATACAAAGCAAGGTCTAATTAAAGTAATGTTATACTTAGTTTGTGCAATTTGTTTTGATAGTAGCCTGTTTATTATTTGCATTCCCCTTTTCTGACCTTTAGTAACAGCCAAGTTTGGTGACAAAATGGTTATTATATTAATAATAATAATAATAATATATTTATTTTGTATAGCGCCTTTAAAAGTAGCTTTCTCAAAGCGCTTTACAGACAGACATAACAGGAGAGGAGTAAGACAATGTAAATACAAAAATAAAAACATAACATTATGATCATGTAAAAGCAATGCTAAAATAAAATGTTTTAAGGAGAGATTTAAAAGTCACTAAAGTTTTTGCTTACCTGATGTCGGCCGGAAGAGAATTCCAGAGCTTAGGAGCAAAGACAGAAAATGCTCGGTCACCCCACGTATGAAGTTGATATTACATGATGGGTCAGGATTTTCTCCATGAATGTAGCTCTAAATTCAAACTGAGCTGTACGTATTTTCCCATATGCTATAGGAAGTTGTGGTTGAAAATGTTTTCCAGGAGTCTGTGAGAGATGTCCCTTACTCTGTGCTCAATGCTCTGTGCATTGAACAGCAATCGAAACAAGGAAGAGCCCACTTGTATATTTTAGGCTATAATTTAAAACAGTACCATTCCAAAGGTAAGTGCACTTAATTGTAATAAAATAGAGACAAAACTCTAGAAAATGTATTCTTTCTTTCATTGATATCATGCTGTGGGTGGGAGTACCAAATTAAGGGCCCTGGCCCCTAGGGCAAATAAAAACCTCACTGTATAATATAGTATAAGACCTCATCTAAAAGTAGTATGTTTTGATCATGAAGAGACTATCAGAGAAATCACTAAGTGATACTTAACTCACCTCTGATTGTGAAGTTCTGTGCCCTTTTATGAAGGACATATTTTTCATTTTTTAGAAACACCATGGGGAACCTTTCCTGATTTTTTTTCAATTCATACAACGTAAAAATTAAAACATTTATATTGACAGCCAAAATGACAAATTCAACAAAGATGGGTAGGTTTATTTATATGAACTGTGGTTGAGACTCGTTATTCTTTTAAAACATCACCATAGCTATATTGGATGTTGAATGCTTCACAAACTATATGTAATGAACCAATTATGTATTGGCCAGAGCTGTGTACAATAGTAAATTGCATAGAAATGCAGGTCAGAAAAGAAGTTTCTCAGGGGTGGTGGATCATGGACATATAATTAAAAAGTATTGTCATTTAAAGAAGAGCATAGAAACCATTTTTATAATATAAAACAATATACATAAAGTAATACCTATCCTAAATACGATCTAGACCGTTTAAATTTGATAAACAAAAATATGTGCCTCAACATACTGTATTTCTGTGTAAAATTTTAGTTTTTTTAAAGCATTCATTCATTAACTCGAAAATACTTGTATAGTAAGATAAAGTGTCTTAAAATTACATATTTTATTCATATTCATCAGAAAAAATGAGAATGTTAGACAAGAGAAAAACATGGGATCAATGACAAAATTACTACAGCAGGACTAATAAAATATTTACTATATTATTAAAATATGTATTTATAAATATATCTTTCCTTAATTTTTTGGCATACCCATGCCTTCTACACCAGTGTGTTTTTGTGTTCACTTGTTTACAAAAAGATAACATAAGAATGATAACATTACTAAACTGATAAGATGTATAGGCCTAATTTAGATTAATGGTTAGTCATTATTATCAATTAATTTGACCAACGTTCTAAAGTAACTTGTAGTGTAGGCTACTTGGTAGGACCTCGTTATTGATTCGTATATAAAAACTCAAGCACCAAAAGCAGCCCGTAATCATCTAGGCTACTGTAGTTCTCATTTTCTGGAAAGTATGCACTTTTCATTTATTTGTTCATTCATTCATGCATTTAACAACAACATTTAGGCCTAGTTCAAAATTTTAAGTGGCATTGTTTAAATGCTTTTTTTTTTTTTTTTTGGCTATAATTTCAAAGACGTTCAAGTTATTGTGCTTTTAAATTGTATGCCATCTATGTATCTTCCTGACAAAAAAAAAAAACATTTTATGTTTACCACATTACCACTCAGTAATGTTCAATTGTGTTGATAGAAACTAAAAACAAGATACATTTCTAGTTTCAACATTATTCGTTCTTCAGAAAATGTGCGAGCATTGTAAATGTGTACCAATTTACTCATGGAGCCACATTTACATCCCTATATATTGGGACTTAAATTTAACCATATTCGTCCTTAAAAAATAAGAAACAAAAAGAAAAGTTTGTTACGAATTACAATCTAAAAGGATAGTAAGATATATTTAATATGATTGCAAACTTTGGGCAAAAAACAAAAGTAGTGCTTTTTCCCATTTCTTTTATTTTCACCGTTGGCATAGCTATAATGAAACAAAGATGGCTAAAGTCAACTGATTTAACTAATGGACCTAACAATCTCTGTGCAAAAGTAAAATAATGATGCTGTTCTAAAGTTATTTTAACCCTCCTGTAATCTGACTCCAAATCTCAGGTGAAAATTTTACACAACTGTAAATTACTCAGTAAATATACATCCATCACATGTAATATTTTGGCTTTCTTCCTCATTACGTTTGTCTTTCTACATCTTTTGTACACATATTTAACTGCAGATGCTGAAATGACATAAATTGTGTGGTACAGTACAAATATTTTGAGTGCCCCTTATTTTCCAATAAAGAACCACGATTGTCCCTTTTACTCACTTCCAGAAGTTGGCAAGCCTACTCCTACCCCTAAACCTACCCATAACCATTTCTTAAAACTATGTATAGTTATTAAGAAACACTAACAGACAGACAAGTGTAATCACAATATAAAATGTGAAAAAAAATTCACCTTTTATCATTTCCAAAGTGAATATGTGTATGCAAAGCAATGATATCTGTATAGGGGTTTGTATTATCTTGATTGTTTGATGAGTGAGGTTTTTTTTATTTTGGGTAACACTTTATTTTGATGGTCCCTTTTGAACATTCTGTTGACTATAAGTAACTTTGCAACTACATGTCAACTAACTCTCATTAGAGTGTTAGTAGACTGTCTGCTTAATATCTGCTAACTCTTTATTGTGATGGTCCTCCAACAGTCATTCTACTGACTATAAGTAACTTTGCAACTACATGTCAACTTATTCTATCCCTAACCCTACCAGTCTACTAATACTCTACTAATACTCTAGTGAGAGTTAGTAGAGATGTAGGTGCACCGTTACTTATAGTCAACTGAATGTTTTAAAGGGACCATCCAAATAAAGTGAAACCTACTTGTTATAATTAATATTTGAAATTGTTTGCAATGTGTTTGCCTATTTTGTATTCAATTCACCTTAAACCATTACACAAGAATACGGATACCATCTCTTCCTTTTCCTCAACTTTTTGTCATAAAAAAACTTTTTGTGTTTGTCTTTGTGTGTCTTTGTAGGAGTGGCTAGCTGATGATGTCCTGACACACCTCCAGACCTCACTATAAAACCTTTATGACAAAAGGCGAGTTCCTATTGAAAGGAATGCCACTGTCATCTCCAGAACCTCTCTTTGGGAAAATCAACAAGACTTAAAATGACCAAAAACACCAATATTCGAATCAGTCTTCCAGCAGTCTGCTTTGTCTGGCAGATTGCTATGATCATCCTGTTTGGCGTGTTCGTTCGTTATAATGAGGAGTCTGACAGCCATTGGATCGAACACAAAAAAAGAAAAAATATTTCCACGGATTTAGAGAATGATTTTTACTATAGATATCCAAGTAACATAACCTTTCACTGCAATGTGTTAAATTAACTGCAGTTTATCTGCTCATAATCATGTACATATTCACACGCTAACTTTGTTTTCTGTTTCCTCAGGTTTTCAGGATGTGCATGTGATGATCTTTGTTGGTTTTGGATTTCTCATGACCTTTCTTAAGCGTTATAGTTTCGGTGGAGTTGGCTTCAATTTTCTCATCGCAGCATTTGGAATTCAATGGGCTCTACTGATGCAAGGCTGGTTTCATTACCTTGACAGTGATGACTGGAAAATAAAAATTGGGATTGAGAAGTAATTGATTATTGTAAACTACTTATTGACATTATTGATACATTCACCTTCATGTTTAAGCCTCCTAACCCTAGTGTCACATGACTGATTCGATGTGATTCACTGTTCCATTTTAGAAGCAATGCTTAATATATGCATCTTTAATTTGTAACTAAAGAATTTCACTGTCATTTTTCAATCAGCCTCATCAATGCAGATTTCTGTGTGGCTGGCTGTCTCGTTGCATATGGCGCTTGTCTTGGAAAGGTCAGTCCAGTGCAGCTGATGGTTCTTACTCTGTTTGGAGTCACCCTGTTTGCGGTTGAGGAATATATCATTTTAGAACTCCTTCATGTAAGTTTTAATCTTCCTATTTTATCCCAACGATTAACATCAGTGCTGGAATTTATCATTTTTGATGGCTTCATTCATGCATAGGTGAAAGATGCTGGTGGTTCCATGGTCATCCACACTTTCGGAGCATATTATGGTTTGACCATATCTTGGATCTTATATCGACCATTGCTATCTCAGAGCAAAAATTATCAAGGATCTGTATACCACTCTGATGTGTTTGCAGTGATTGGTGAGTAGTGAAAAAAGTCCTTTCTCGACTTCCCCTGTTGTATTAATCAAGCTATAACAAAAGGCACTAGAAGAGCTGTTGATTTTGCAAGATATTTTACATTTAAGTACATATTTATTCAAAATAACCACTTCAGCAAATGGTGCAATTTTCAATTTAATCATATTTTGCCTTTTCAAAGCCTCTTAAAAGGATAGTTCACCCCAAAATTAAAATTCTGTCATCATTTACTCACCCTCAAGTTGGTCCAAACATTGACTTCCATAATACTTTGTATTTTTTTCCTCCATACTAAGGAAGTAAATGTTTACATATTCAACAGTTTGGTTAACCAAATTATTTTAAAATATCATATTTTGTGTTCAGCAGAAGAAAGATTCTTACAGGTTTGGAGCAACATCAGGGTGAGTAAATGATGACAGAAAAAAAAAAATCTGATCCCATTAGCTACATAAGCAACATTTAAAAAATTATAAAATGTTAGATTGAATCAAATGTCACCCTTTTGGCAATGAGGAAACGTGTTGTGCTTTTTGTTGCTATTTTAGTGTTTTGGAAGAATATAAAATTTAAAATGACATATTACCCCAGGGGCCTTTGCCTATTGTATCCAATAAGCTATCAAAACATTGGGAACTGTTCCTAATTTTCTTCCATCTCCCTTTATCAGGCACTCTCTTTCTGTGGATGTTCTGGCCCAGTTTTAATTCTGCTATTGCAGATCATGGAGATGGGCAGCACAGAGCTGTTATAAATACCTACCTCGCACTGGCCTCATCAGTTCTCACTACCTTTGCCATTTCAAGTCTCTCACAAAAACATGGAAAGCTTGACATGGTAAATTTAAAAAAATGAGTTGATCCTTATTATGTATACATAAAATAACCCTTACATTTTCTTGACTTTGTTCAGGTACATATTCAGAATGCTACCTTGGCTGGTGGTGTTGCGATGGGAACAGCTTCAGAGTTCATGATTACACCTTACGGCTCTCTGATAGTGGGATTCTGTTCAGGCATTGTTTCCACACTTGGATATCTGTTTCTGACTGTGAGTTTTGCAGTGTTTTACAGTACTGAAATTGCTCATATTGAAGTAAAGGAAACATCTATTATATATTAATTAAAAATATAGATGGTTTAAAATGTTTTTTGTTTACTGTATAATGCACATCTAATTATCAAACATTTTTACATTTATTTGAAGTCTAAATTATAGACAGTATAAGCATGCAACCATAATCTTTTATATACTTTCCTTATCAGCCTTTTATGGAAAAAACTCTGAAAATACAAGACACTTGTGGTGTACATAACCTGCATGGAATGCCTGGAGTTATCGGTGGTATCGTTGGAGCTATTACTGCAGCTTCAGCCAGTGAGTCAGTTTATGGAAAAGAAGGGTAAGTTTGTGTCAGTCAGACAGACAGACAGATTGTATAAATATACACATACGCAGAGTCACGGTTGGCTTCTGTTTGCACTGCTGCAGAAAAGAAAACGAAAGCAAAATATCGCGTGACTCCTTAATACTGCATTTTCTGTTCAGGTTAATTAACACGTTCGACTTCAAGAGTGCCGTTGCTAACAGGACAGTCAGCATTCAGGGTGGTCACCAGGCTGCAGGTCTCTGTGTAGCAATAGCATTTGGTCTTGGAGGTGGAGCTTTGGTTGGTGAGTGCAAAGTTAAACAGTAAACTAAGTGTTTTTAGATAATAATATGCGTTAGAGCTGACATTTTTATGCTGTTTAATTTTACAGGTGGGATACTAAAGCTGCCAATCTGGGGTGACCCAGCAGATGCCAACTGCTTTGATGATGAGGTTTATTGGGAGGTGAGAAAAGTGTTTTTGTTGATTAACTACATGATATCAAGTAGAACACTGATTTATTTGAGGTTTGTAAAAAGAGTCCTGGGCACAAATAGAATTGTTGGTATTTATTCTTAGGTTCCTGAGGATGAGGATGAGAATATTCCTGCCTCTAGACACCCAAACATGAACCACGTAAGAAGCATGGAAGATGTGTGAGTATACATTAAATCACTTAATCTATTCATGAATCCCTCTTTATAGGATGGGAACATCCCTCCATATTTCATCATAATCAGGGTGACAAAATACAAGTAAAACTACTTTTAGCATGGTACAATACAATTATATTGATTAATGTCCAGTGTGAAATTACTATCAAACTACAATTAAGACTTTAGGAAATTGCTGTTCAAAATTATTTTATGTAAATACTTTTTTTGTAAAACTGTTGACATCTCTCATGTAAACAGATATCAACGAAGTAATATGTAAGGGGGGAAACTGCCTAAAAACTCCACTTCCTGAAGAACTTCAACTCTGAATGATGATTGAATAAGAATCATGAAGGATTGACAGACTGATTATATAAGCTACTGAATGGAAATGTTTAAGTCTGTCATGTGCTTTGGGTTGTACAATGACATAATACCAAAGCATCTTGCCTCTAGTACCTGAATAACCAGAGTTGCCACTGCAGCTTCCACAAAAACAAATCCAAACTGTGGGTTTTCACAATTTCCTTTTTGAATTCTTTACATTCCTACTACACCAATGATATCTTTGTTTGTAATGTGACTTTCTATACTGGTTAGATTTTACTAGAGCTTTCTAAGTAATTTACAAATGTGTTCGATGCAGCTCTGTATACGCAACAACTGAGGATATTAGAAGACATGTTTGTCGTAAGTTTTATTGTAAAAATATAGGATATCAACATAATGATGTAGTTGTTTATATTTTTAGCTTCATTGCAAGTGTATGACATTTTGTATTGAAATAAACAATGGTAATTAAGTGCTTTTCCTAAAAATGAGAAAGAAGAAAATACAGGGTATTAAAACAGTATGAACTACAAATAAAGTCAGTATGTGAGGCTAAATAGATGTGTTTTAGTCTGAATTAGGTAAGATGTGTGCTTCCATTTCAATTTCCACAAATTCCTTCACTCGATTGGGATGTTCTCTTGTGTTCTGGGCGGCAAGTGCAGTAACTGTATATCGAGCATATTTTGTAGTATTAAACATATTTATACCGACTTCATCAGGCTCCGAAAATTCTTCACAAAGAACACAAAGAATGGCCTTCTCAGCTGCCATAGTTGCAACTCTCATCAGAACAGTGTGTTCAACGCATCACCATTTCTGTTTAAAAAAACGTTGTGCAACGTTTTGTCGGGGCTGAACGTAGCCCTGGTGTCTTTTGCTCTAATTGACCTAAACTATTTCCCAATAGGAAGCACTTAAAAAGTGGTAACTAGAATGGGAGGAGGCAACAAGTAAGATAGCAATTTTAGCTGGAGACCTTGAGATACAATTGTTAATTGTACACTGATACTAGCCGACAATGCTCTGTGCATACTAGATTATATGTGGATGTCTCCTTAGAATTGACAGATGCAGCTCCAAACTGACTGATATAAGACATTTGGTAACTTAGGGTGTATTCACACCTGCATTGTTTGGTTCGATTGAATCGAACTCTAGTTCGTTTCCCCCCTTGGTGCGGACCTTTTGGGCAGGTGTGAATACAGCAATCGAACTCGGGTGCGGACCAAACAACCGAACCGAGACCCCGCTGAAGAGGTGGTCTCGGTACGGTTCCAAACGAACTCTGGTACGGTTCGTTTACGGTGTGAACATGAACCGACCCAATTCCAAGAAAGCACTGCGCCTTTGAGTTAACAGGCTTCCGTAGTCGCAGTTGCATTATGGGAAAGTGATCTGTTGTAGCCTACTACATTACATCTGTTGCGTGTCTTTCTGCGCGTCGTGTGTGCATCACTGGAATGGAATGAATGAATGAGTGTGTGCATCAGGACATTCACATACAGAGCGTTCTCTTTAGTCTAATCGCGCATAGATGCAAAAAAAAGCATTTGCAGTTCATATAATGTAACGATAGTTACAATACAAGGATGATGCTGCGTTAATTTACGTTAAGCCTTTTTTGCACTTCCTGATTTCCCTATACTTGAGAATCCTTATTGTCCAATGAATGGACGACCTTAGCACACGTGTGGTTTTGTTTACAAATTGTGGTTCACTTGCAAAAAGAGCAGTGTGAAAGCGAACCGTAAAAAAAAAAAAAAAAAAAAAAAATTGTTTGGTCCGGACCAAAGCAAGTGAACTATCGGAATTTCCTGGTGTGAATACACCCTTAATGTTGATGGTCCCTTTTGAATATTATGTTGACTATAAGTAACTTTGCAACTACATGTCAACTAACTCTCAATAAAGTATTAGTAGACTGTCTTCTTAATATCTGCTAACTCTTTATTGTGATGCTCCCCTGACAGACATTCATTTTTCATTTCATTTTTTTAGTTTCATTATACTCATTATACCGCTGTAATAATACTGTACAACAAGTTTCTCTTACGGCAAAATTTGCTTACACTTGGTCAAAAAGTAAGTGGCTGATGGTTGCTGAACTTCTACCCTGATCAAAGGATCTGAGGGTTATAATTCCCCCCTTTAGACAACCTTGTAAAAATGCAAATGAATTGCTATAATTTGATCCCTATTTTACATCAGAGCTGCAAGTCTTCAAAGTGTTTGAAAGTGAATCCTTCTCCTTATTATCCTGATCGGTCCAACATTGTGGCATTACTACTGAAAAATAAATAAATAAATAAAACCTGTGTGTTCTGTATGAAATTTGTGCTTCATCCTCTACTTCTAATGTAGCCCAGTTTGTGCTGAATACAGTGTAAAGAGACTTTATCCAATAATGTGTTTATAAGCAACTGAAAAAAAAAAAAAAACTTGCAAATGTCAGGGCATGTCAAAACTTCTCCAGGGCCCAAAAAAAAAACTCAGACCCCAGAGGGTTAAGTTGTCCTAATATCCATTCTCACGTTGTGGATTAAAATGTTCGTGTTCTGTGCTTTTTTGGCAAATAGTAATGCGTTTACATAATGCAATGTTTTCTTACTAGTGTCATGGGTCTTCTGTTATGGGTTGTGTGGTGCAAGACAAACGCGCGATGAAGAATAACAGGTTTCAATAATACACAAGGCAAATTCCAACTCAGTATATAACGTACACACTGACGGGACCCGATGATGAAACTCAAACCGAATTGAACTTAAGAAGTGTAGATAACGAGACACACACCTGAACATAATGATGAGATCAAATGAATAACCATGACAACTAAGGCAGGAACGGTGCAAAACACAAATAGAGTCCATGGTGAGAAGAGAATGCGTAGAGAGAAGGCGAAGAGGATGAGGAGATGGTGAAGGGGCAGTGAACTCTGGAGTTGGACGGCTGACCGGGAGGAGGCGGATCAGAAAAGACCAAGGTGGTGATGAAGGTGGTGAGAGCAAGGGAGCACCCTTAAGCAGAGGCGTGCTGGTGGAAACCCAGGCCACAGCCAGAGAGCAGCGGAAGTCCGCCCCAAAGGCGTGGGGAAGTCTGACCCAGGTGGAGCCGATTGCAGAAGATTCTGCAAACAAGATGGTTAGGGGTAATATTTATTTGTTTATTGATATTTATATAGCGCCTTTAACCAAGGCGCTGAACAATTTTTAAACTAAACGGTACATTGAAAAGAAAAAGATTGAGAAAGATGCTACGGTTATTAGGTAAGGTTGAGTAAGTAGAGTGAAGCTACAGTGAGGACAGAGGCTAGAGCAAAGTTTGGCAAGCAGTAGGTCCTGACCGGAGGTCATTGGACAATTGCCTTAGGTCCTGGCCGGAGGTTAGGACCTAGGGCAAACAGTGGGATGGGCTAGTGTGAAAAGATGAGTTTTAAGGGAGGCGCGAAAACTGCGTAGTGTAGGGGACTGTTTAATGTGTAGGGGGAGTTTATTCCAATGAAGGGGAGCCAGAAGGGAAAAGGAACGGAAACGGGATTAAGCACAGGGCGAGGGTGAGACCGAGAGGGACAGCAGAGATTGAGAACGTAAGGGACGGGAGGGAACATAGTAGGTGATAAGTGCAGCCAGATAGGGTGGGGCAAGACCATGAAGGGATTTGTAGACTAGGGTAAGGAATTTAAATAGGCAGCGATAATAAACAGGGAGCCAGTAAAGCTGGTGGAGAAGAGGGGAGCTGTGAGAGGAGAGGGGAAGGTTGAATATGATACGGGCAGAGGCGTTTTGAATTTGCTGTAGTGGTCTGAAGGCGTAGGAGGGAAGGCCGAGAAGAAGGGAGTTGCAGTAATCAAGGCGGGTGAAAATGAGAGTATGAACCATAAGTTTAGTGGCAGAGAAAGATATAGAGGGGCGTATTTTGCGGATGTTGAATAGGTGGAATCGACAGGTGAGTGTAGTGGCTGAAATATGATCAGCAAGGGAGAGGGACGCGTCAAATATGGCGCTTGAGGTTGCGAGCAGAATTAGCCGGGATGAGTGACAGGGGAGGGAATGAGATGGTTGGGGTAGGAAAGGGGGAAGAACGTGAGGGGAAGAAAAGGATTTCAGTTTTTGATGGGTTGATAAGGAGGTATTGGCGTGCCATCCAAGATTGTATAGCAGTCAAGCAAGAAGTTATACGAGCAGAAAGGTCAGGGGTGAAGGAAGGGAAGGAAAAGAAAATTTGGGTGTCATCAGCAAAGAAATGGTGAGGAAAATTAAATGAAGAGATTAGAGCTTCGAGAGGCGAGGTGTATAGAGAGAATAACAATGGTCCGAGGACAGAACCCTGGGGAACACCAACAGACAGAGGGGAAGGGGGAGAAGTGGAGCTGTTGAAAGCAACAGCAGAGGTGCGGGAAGATAGGTATGAGTGGAGCCAGCTAAGGGGTGTTCCAGAAATGCCGAGGTTGGAAAGGGTGGAAAGGAGAATGGGATGATCGACTGTGTCGAAGGCAGAGGAGAGGTCGAGGAGAATGAGGATAGAGGAGTTGGCCAGATAATTCTGGACAGTGAGGAGATCAGTCTCCGTGGATTGGGAAGGACGGAAACCACATTGGAATCGGGGGTAGAGGGAGTTGGCGGAAATATATTGAGATAGACATATGTGAACTAGAAAAATACGGTAGGAGAGAGATTGGGCGGTAGTTGGCAGGGCGGGCAGGGTCGAGAGTGGGTTTTTTTAACAGAGGAATGATGATAGCTGATTTAAAAGCAGCAGGGCAGATACCGGTAGACAGAGAGGAGTTAAAGAGGGAGACTAGATAGGGGAGGATAAGAGGGAGTATAGGGGGTAGGAGGGAAGCAGGGACAGGATCCAGGGGGGAAGAGGTTGGGTGGGCCTTTGAAATGATGGAGGAAAGTTCAGAATAAGACGTGGAGGTAAAGTCAGTGAAAGGGGCATTAGAAGTAATCGGAGGTAAAGTGGGAAGCTGGGGATGGGGCAAAGTCTGGAGGTATAGGCGAATAGTGCTGATTTTATTTGTAAAAAGGTGAGAGAAATCACTGGCAGTGAGCGTTGAGGGAACTGAAGATTGGGGTGAAGATGGGGGACGGAGTAGTGTATTTAGGGTTAAGAAAAGCTGCCGGAGATGGGGAGCCAGAGCAGTGATGAGAGTTTGGAAGTAGTC